CAAAAATTTTAAAAAAAAAAAAATTATTTTTTTCTTAAAGAAAAATAGAGAAATTTTTCCCCCATTTGTAATGGGCACCAAAAAAAAAACGAAATTTGATGGAAAAAAATGACAGGGGAAATTTTGCTCTCGCCGAAAATTAGCGACCCCGGGTGTTTTCAAATCGGAGAAATTTTAAACCCCTTTGAGCCCTATTTTTTGGCTTTAAATTCCCCTTTTTTTCCAGTCGCCCAAACTTGTAGCTTTTTCTTTAGGAAAAATCCATTTTTTTCTATTGATTGAGTTCAAGAAAACCCCGCCCAAATTTTCCAATTTCAAAATACCTTTAAAAATGTGGTCAGAAAATTTTAATTTGGCCAATTTTTCCCCCAAAAATAAAAAAAAATGACCCAATTTTTTTAAAAAAAGGTCCAGAATGGAAAAAATGCCGCTTTTTCCCGGGTCTAAAATAAAATTTTCTTTGCTCATCAGTCATGTCTCCCCGGGCCCCTCTGATATTACTCTTGCTTTTGTTTTGAATTTTTATTCAAACAAAAAATAGAAGACTTACTATTATGCGAACTACTCCAATTACTGAAATAATTGTATAAATAACTTCAACCCATTCATGACTGCATATTAGAATGGTGGGTTGGAAAATTTATTGGACAATGGCATCATTTGTTTACTTTTGAAACATTGGCAAAAATCAAACATTTCCCCTACTTTGAGCTCCTTTTCTAGGTTCTTTTTATAGTAAAATAAATCAAAACACCTCTATTTCTATAATATGTTTTCCATTCTTTCAAATGAGCCAAGAAAATGAGAATACAACCATATACTATACGAAAATAGACCACAAAGTCGGCATTTTAATTAAAAAAACGGTCGGAGTTTTTTTTTTCTATGACTGCGTGTCCCGGTTTTTTTTTATATGGGCACACTGACCACACGACCCCTTCTCTCAATGTGGGCCCCCCCCTACCCGCTTTCTCCTGCTTTGATTTTTAAGCCCCCGCAGAATTTATGAGTTGTATACGTAAAACGGGTTTCCTGTAAGAGTTATTTGGCCGCGACAGTCAAAGGGGGTAAAGTTAGTAATAGAACTAGGCATTAAAAACAATAAAAGTAAAATACATACACAGTGCATTCATTACTTACATTAAAAATTTGCAGTCTTAAAAGTGGGGAGGGTGAGTGTACTTTTTGTAGGGAGTCAGGTGTAGGTAGCTGGTGATGTAGGTATGTGTCTGCCTGCGCTAATGTACTCGATATTTTAAAGCGGCCCGAGCCTATTATTACAAAAACATACTATGTTCACTGAGTTTTATTATTTCTTACAATTTTTGGTATATAAACAAAGGGAGAACTAATGAATAATTTTTTTTTTTCCGGGGGGTTTTTAAACAAAGTGTTATGTTTAACCCTTTGACCCTTTCAGTGTATTTTAGTCTTAAGAGCCACCGTGTTTTCGTAAAACATCAAAAAAATTTTGCGGCTTAAAATGGCAGGGGAAAGCTGGGAGGGCCACATGTGAGAGAATGGGTCTTTTTGGGTTAGTTGCACCATTAAAAAAAAACTGCGTACACAGGCATAAAGAGAAAAAAAAAATCCCCCTGTTTTTTGGATTAAAAAGCTGGATTTGTGGTGTATTTTCATATGTGTTTTTGGTTGTATTTCGTTTTTTTGGTCTGTTTGTAGAATGTAAAACATTTTTATAGAAATAGAGGTGTTTTTATTGGTTTTTCTATGAAAAGAACCTTGAAATGGAGTTCAAAGAAGGTGAAATGTTTTGATTTTTGCGATGTTCAAAAGTAAACAAATGATGTCATTTTCTAATTTAAAAGTCCAAGTAGCCCTTCTAATATGCAGTCATAAAGAGTTGACTTATTTTTACAAATTTTTACAATATTCAATTCAATTAAAAGTTTATTCTCTATAAGGATTACAAACTGGTTTAAGAATTTTGGTTATTGTGTGGGTTTTAAAGTAGTAAAATAATGATTACAGAGTGTACCCCTAGAACCTGCATGGCTAGGGATTTGGGGAGACTTAGATTAATTTTTAATTTTAAAAAAATTACAAAAATTTTGAGGTAAATTGGTATTTGGCTAGTGACTAAATACTGTTTTTGAGTTTAGCAATGTGAATGTTTTTTTTTGGCACAGAAAAAGTTCGTATTGGAGTTACAGGATTTATTTTTAAAATTTAGTTTTTAAAATTTTGTTTATGGCAAATGGGTGAGTGAGTGTAAGTGTGAACCACCAGGTTTTATTGTGTAGTTAGTTGAGGGGTGTATCAGGGAGTAAAAGTTTTCAAGGAGTTTTTAAGGTGATGAATGTGTCGCGTTCCAGAGTTTCAGTAGGGTGTTCCAGATTTTAGGGCCTTTTACTACATTTTAGTTTTTTTAAAGGTTTAGTCGGCACGGGGAATGTCGTAGGATGGGCGGTTTTATGCCTGTGGGTTCTGTCAAACTATCAAAAAAGCATTTTAGGTCAAAGGGTTTCATTGGGGTTTAAGGGCCTCTAGATGTAGTTTCACAGTAGAAATGTGGATTTTATGAAAAGGGAGTAAGTTTTTGATCTATGAAGAGTGGGGGGGTTGTTTGCCAGGGAGGGATTTAGGATTTTCTTACCGCAGATTTTTGTTGGGTTATTATTGGCTTTAGGTGTGTTTTTTGCATTTGTCCCCAAGCACAAATAGCATAGGTGAGGTATGGAAAATGAGTGGTTATAGTGTGGAAGGGCATTTTTTCGGCACGTAGTATGTATCTTGGAGAGGATCCCAACCGTTTTGGATACTTTTTTGGTTATGTGTTGGATATGGGTGCTGAAATTCAGGTTGTTGTCAAGGTATAGGCCTGGAAATTTGCCCTCATTATGTCTGGTAATTGAGTGTTGTCGATTTAATGTTAATTTGTGCATCTCCTGCTCTGCTACCAAACATAATATAGTAGGTTTTGTCAGTGTTAAGCGTTTAAATTTATTGGCTGTTATCCAAATCGATATTTTGATCAGCTCCTCGTTAACAATGGTGTTGAGGGTGGCAAGATTAGGGTGAGAGATGACATAAGTCGTGTTGTCAGCAAAGAGAATGGGTTTCAGGTGTTGGGATACGTTTGGGAAGGTCATTGATGGATATGAGGAGGAGCAGGGGACCAAGGACACTTCCCCGCGGAACTCCAGTATCAAGTGGCCGTGTTGTTGATGCTGTGTCTTTAATGGGCATATTGATACCTATTGTAAGGTAAGATTTGAAATTTAAACAAGCGCATGGCCTTTATACCATAATGGTCAAGTTTGTGGAGGTTTGGATGTCGTGGTCCACTGTGTCAAATGCTTTTCTTAGGTCAATAAAAATTCCCAGTGGATATTCCTTATTTTCCCAAAGCTGTGTAAAGCAGATCTAGCATTTTTATGATTGCATCATTAGTGCTTTTATTTTTCCTGAATCAAATTGGCAGGGGTTGAGTATGTTTTGTGTTGTTATAAATGAATATAATCTCCTGTGCACAAGTTTCTCAAAGATTTTGGATAGCAATGGTAAGTTTGATATTGGCCTATAGTTGTTTAAGTCTGTTTGGGTCACCACCTTTTTTGTATTGGTGTAACCCTTGCATCTTGAGTAGTTTCGGGAAGGTGCTAGTTTCTAGTGACTTGTTAAAAAGTAATGAGTAGCATGCGAAAGGACATGGGCCCGCTCGCTTGTACAGTAATGGTGGGACATGAGACAGATTCCCCGAGTTATTTCTAAGTGACTTTATAATCTCGGTGACTTCCATGGGTTCAGTTGGGGCCCAAGATAGAAGGAATTTGGGAAATTCTCATCTAGGTAGTCCCCGGCATGGGCCCTGG